CACAGGTAGTGTCCGCAGGGCTTCCGTTTCTTCTGCGAAACGTGGAGGACGTCAAGGAGGCTGCCCAGGAGCCCGCCAGTGCCTCTGCCCTCAAGGTATTCAACTTTACACGGTCTTTGCCATAGTTGTACATGTTGTCAAGTAGGATTTTCTACGTTCAGAGAACGGGGGGTATTGCCACTGAGTGGGGGTCGAGGGCAAAGCAAGGAAGCCTCTGTAAAACAACGTTCTGACAGACTCCCAAGAGGTTAAGGAGATTTGTCTAACTAGTCGTGATGTCTGTACATGTGATCAAAGTGATCTCAGGTGTTTCGTGCGCCTCATTCCTGCACGGACGTGATCAATACATCCACATTTCGTTTTCCTCGCCCCACGACTTCCAACTAATGCATCATCCAATTGCAGCCATGACCGTGGAAGCAGTGACGATACATGAAACCCGTCCGTAAATATCCGCTTGCCGAACGGTTTGCACCCAACGGAGCGCTGTGGATTGTTTGCGGAAAGAGGTGGAAGGGAGCCCATTTTGCGTGAAAGAGCATGAACACTTTCCAGCAAGTCCATGTCTTGAGGACCATCGGCCTGTCCTTATCTCGCAAACCTTCGGTTCACGACCGTCGCGGCGTTGCTCGACTCCATCTTGCCAGAGGGGCAAGCTGGTGCTTCACCAGCCCCTGCGGTTCCTCGGAGCCGTGGCCGGCGGCGGCGCTGGAAGGGCGACCTGTGTTGCCCGTGAGGTGGGGACATATTCCGAACCAAACCACAGTGTTGTCCATGTGGCGAAAACAAATCCCAGTTGTTCCACTTGACCTCTACGCACCCGATCCCAGTACGTCTTATTCGAGAAACTTCGCCCAACGGAGGCCAATTCGTCGGCATTTGGTATGTTTCTCTCGCTCCACCATACTTTCAATGAATCTTGCCGGTCTTTGCGCATGAATGTGCAAAAATGCGTTGATGCAGTCATGAAGTCAGGGCAAAAGTCACGGCGTGTCTAACACGTTCACCTGAAACCTTCAAACACCTATGAGTTCAACCACAAGTAACTCAGCAAGTTTCGGCTACCCGTGGAAACCATCGGAGAGGTTGTCGCGAGTTGATCGTGTGTCAATACACTCATGTTCTGGGCGGCGATGAGGTTCAGGGACGCTCTTTGACCGGGATTTAGAAGACATTTTCGCCCCCCGCACGCACAACCCGAAGAACAAACTCCTATCCATTGATTTGGAAGTTCCATGCGTCTAATCGGGATCTCGTACTACACATTTCTCTTACGTATTTGTCGCTGGATTCCGAAGAACACGTTCCAACCACCCATCGAGTTGTAGAAATCCACCAAGTGTTCTTCAACCACCAAGTAAGCCCGCTGTTAGCAGACAAAGAACCCACACGCAGGAGGCTCGCCCAAGATAGCGGCGTGGTTGTTCATACCTTGCTGCCGTCGGCGTGTGCCCCCCTGTTCTGGTCACACCTCGTGAATACACTCATCGTGTTGTGGTTCTGCCGTTCGTTGTTGTTTTTCACACATTTTTCTGTTTCAGCAGGATGATAACGTCCCCGTGAGGGTGCGCATCAGTGTTCTCGGCTGGATACCGCTGCCGGTTGCCTCCTTGTCGCCGTTGTGGAGCGTTCCAGCGTCGCTGGTCGTACTACTGAGCGTGCTCATCATAGTCCGCGGAACCAGCCAGAGGGCAACAGCTCGAGCCGCAGCAGCTCGAGGTGAAGGAAGGGTTGCGATCAGACGTAGGTAGTGCATCGGTGGTTGTCACTACCCCATGGTTAACCTCAAATGTTTTGGCAGTTTTCTGAAGGACGGTACGAAAAGGTGTCAGACGTCGATTGGGTTTGGTGTCGAAAACTCAAGGCAAGACATTTCTCTCGCGCAACGATACTAGTATTGGTTCATCCTTCATGCCGAATCCACTGCAGTACCTCCGGAGACCGTTGGCGGCCTGGGCACTCCAAGCTAGAACGAGTTTTCCGAACACCGCCCCCGCCACCGCGAGAAGATCGTCAAGAGCAACAGCAACAACAGCGTCAGCAGAGTCTAGCCTAACACCCCCCAAGACAAACAACGGCCGCGGCACAGGACAACACCAATAGCTCCACCACTCAGAAACGCCTTACGGAATAGCCTGTACAACAAGTGGGACGATTCGCTACTTGACTGATCGTTCCCATTTGGCGAGGAATGGCAGTGCCGGTACTACTGTAGTTCCGTGCGTTATTCTCTAGCAGATGAAGAAGTTCTTCGATTCTCTCACATTTCCCTACGAATCAAGTATGTATCTTCGAAGATCTATAGCAGCAGTGACGCCACTAAACCGCACGCTTGTAACGACGGCGACAACGACGACAAGGCGAGGTCCGATTCGTAGCTGTTCTACACTCTTCNCCCCCAAGACAAACAACGGCCGCGGCACAGGACAACACCAATAGCTCCACCACTCAGAAACGCCTTACGGAATAGCCTGTACAACAAGTGGGACGATTCGCTACTTGACTGATCGTTCCCATTTGGCGAGGAATGGCAGTGCCGGTACTACTGTAGTTCCGTGCGTTATTCTCTAGCAGATGAAGAAGTTCTTCGATTCTCTCACATTTCCCTACGAATCAAGTATGTATCTTCGAAGATCTATAGCAGCAGTGACGCCACTAAACCGCACGCTCGTAACGACGGCGACAACGACGACAAGGCGAGGTCCGATTCGTAGCTGTTCTACACTCTTCATGTTGCAGAAAGTGCTATCATCCACAGTACACCGAAACTGGCACAATTCTCTCTTGCTTTGCAGCAGGTGAAGAAAGGAGAGCGGGCCGTGGGGGGCGTCCAGCAATATTGCTGTCGCTAAACCTCGACAACGACCACGAGACATGGACCAGGTTGATGGCGGTCCATCGGTGGATACTCTCCCGTGGTGAGATGAACGGCCTTGTGGGGTTGTTGTTGTCGTTGCTGTTGCCGTCCTTGTTGGAGTTGTTGGAGTGGTGGAGTTGTAGTATGAACCGCTCTTGGTGGTGTAGTTGTTGTTGTTGCCGCTTGTCGATAGTCGTCGTGGTGGGGGCGACGATAGAGGTAGAATTGCCGCTGTCGCTACTGGCGTTGGCTTGTGTTGGCAAGATGCTGGAGTCCTTCGGCATATTCTGCTCGTTCTGGCGGTTCTACAAGCATATGCGATCATTACCGACGACTTGTTATCGGCAACACCGGGCGGTCGATATTCTTGCGGGTTCTTCTGTCATGTTCGTTCGGGGAAGGCTGCGATAGCGTGTTGGCTAGTACATAACAATCGGGAAATATCGACGTCCTTACACAATCGAATACTGTGTGGGGGCTAGACGGGGCTGCTATTGTTATTCACCCTCTAAACCATACAACCCGGTTGTTGTTGCTCTCAGGTGGAACGGTTCCCCACAGTCAAGGACCGAGCAGGAGACATGGCTTCGGGGACCTCCACGTGGAGGTCACGAGCTCCAGCTCGACAGATGTGAGTATCGGACGGTATCTCCTGGGTGCTGAAGACACAGACGAGCACAATGTCGGTAGACGGTCCTTGTCACCGGCTAGTCTGGTCTAAGCAACACGGGGGCTTCCGAGAGTCAACCTTCCTCGATACGCAAAACGGTTGGGATGGTTCAGGTTGAACAAGCTCGGTTTCTCGCGGTACCATCGCGAAAAAATGCAACAGGAGATGGGGGAGGATTCAGGTTGAACAAGCTCGGTTTCTCGCGGTACCATCGCGAAAAAAAACGCAACAGGAGATGGGGCACAGCAGCGCGACTTGATATCGGAGCTTGTCTTCCCCTGGAATCGAGGAGAAGGCATTGGATAGAGGTTGGCGGTTCAGAGTGAACAACCGAACCCCACATCATCAATTGACAGACTTCCGCGAACGGCTTACTTCGTTTCCTTGATGTGTGTATCGATCTTATTCAAATTCGTTGTCCGGGATTTCACCGGCCGTTCGTCCGCTCCCCCTGATCCCCCGTTTCTTGCAATTCTCAGTTGGGACGGTGGTCGACCTTCCTCCAGTCCAACGTTGTCCAGAGCATCTTGGAGGTTAGCAGAGGGCTTGTCGTAGCATTTGGTTCTGAAAAAACATAGGGAAGAGGGTGGTCACCGTATTTCTGTGGACACAACAAACTGTCCTCCTTGCAGATCAGGAACTCGTGTGAAGACTAGACTATGTTCTTGAGGACGTTCAAAACCAGTACATTCCGTGACAATTTCAACTACGCAATTGTTGACCTACACTACATAGACTGGACGTGCTGAAACCATGGCGTGCTCTTGCTGAGGTAGATCAGGACGAGATTGGGTACATGCATGGCGCATTCCCCATGTGGTTCAGGAAAACACCGTTTTGCACAAGAACCATATTGTTGCAACGAACGAACAGCAAAACCGAGAATGGATATTTTTTTATTATTTTCCTCGACTTCGTTGAAAACGAATGGATGTGATCCGTTCCCACAGTGCTATCCTTGCCCTCCTTATCGAACCTTGCCGGACCCATGCAAGGGAAAACCGCCGATGGCGGCGAACCTCGCCGCTGAATGGTGTAGTTGACAACGCCCGTAGTCGCGCCATGTCGGGCGATCTCTGTGCCGCTCGGGATTATCTCCCGCTTTTGATCCGTGATGATATGTTGTATGAAACGTGATCCATCTCCATTTTTTTCATGCCACATGTGTCAGATTTTGTCCGCATCAGCTGTAGTACAAAACGACATTCTTCGGCTGCGATATAGTAGCGATTACCCAGACAGTTCACCGGAGACGGGGATTTTGCAAAGCGCCTCGTACAGCGCAAATCCCTCCGGGCATCATTGGAGAGAGCGATCGCTCCAAGGCGTTCCGCCGTTGATGTGCCAATTTGTGGTCAACACGTTGGCACGAGGGTGTTGTCGTTTCCCGCGAAAGGTATTATCAAGGATCCTGGCGCCAACCCCGCCCTCTCATGTTTGCGCGCACCCCAGGAGGCCTTTGCGAGTGTGGTCATGTCCTGGACTTACGCTGGTGTCCGCCGGTCCGGCTTGATGGCCCCAGTCGTACAGAGCCAGGACCTGCGTGCCGTGTTGACGGACACCTACCCGGTCGCTGCTGCTTCCGCTCCCGCTCCCCGACTGTGTGCGCCGGATCCTATCCCGACACCCGTGAGCGGGGCAGGACGGGTGTCGGCGGTCGGATATCGGACCCACGCCTCACGACCAGCAGTGATGGGGGGACACGACACTCCACGGAGCAGGGCACGCAGGGCTTCCACCAGGGCGCTGGATAACAGATGGCCGGCCAACGGGGAAGAATTCGCTGCTACACAGGCAGGGGCAGCAAGTACAGCAAGACAGCAGGAGGAGGTGGTGCATTTGGCAGGGGCACACATGACCTCTGCACCGCAGGTCTGCTTGTGAAGCATTTCGTGTTTTCGGTCAAGTAGGATAGAGTCATCCTGGTTTTTGGCGGGCCCACGTTCCGTAGGATTGTTGAGTGGAGTTAGCCGATGGTCGGTTGTTCCTTCTCTCCCTCCTCCGTTCTCCCCTGTATGCATACTCGCGCCAATCTCATGATCGCGATCCTCGTTTCCCGGCGTTTTGCAGTTAGCCGCACGAGCCGCACAATCCACTGCAAGGCACTACCCAGGGGCGTCGGGTACGTCTAGCCCGCCGGCGAGGGCCGCCCCTGCGGCTTCGGCTACCCTTCCATCCCGCAGGGGCGTGTTGGCAGCCTCACTAGTACGGAATCGGGTAGGCACCGGAGGAAGTGGCCTGCAGGAAGCCAGCCGCGTACCGATGGCCTCGACGGCAGCCGCAGCGGGGTCTCCCGATCATGCGAGCGGTCGGAGGCCTACACGCACTGGCAAGGCTGGAGGTGGTGCTGATCCTGGTGCTGGTCCTAATGCTACTGCTGCTGCTGCTGGTGGTGGGGCGGCGGCGAGGTCGGGGGCGGCCATCGCGCCAAGCAACAAGGTGGGCGGAGTCGTGCTTGCCGTCGAGGCGCGTAGTATCTCTGTGCCCCTTGTGTGGTGTATTATCCAAGCGTCGTCCCCGATCAATCTCCCGGGTGAACGGTCCTCTTGGGTTGCCTCGATTCTTTTGCGGACCTAGCCCCCCGTGCCTAAGCCCTCTTTTTTGTTTCGTTTTGCTTTTCATGTTCGGATTGTTTATCCCAGCCGTCCTTTTTGGCCAAACCTCTTTCACTCCCTCTGTCTTGTAGGGTGAAGCTTCTGGTGGAGATCATGTCGAGACTGGGGGGACACCTGCAACAACATCGCCTGCACAAGCAGCTGAGACGGGAGGGGGCGGGTCGAGAGAGCATGCTGTGCCGCCGGCAATGGCCGAGCCAGTGCCTTCGACGGCGCAATTGAGCTGCTGGCGAGACGCTAGTAGCTTCCAGGACCCGCCGATTACGGGAAGCAACGGGAACGGCGGGGCGACGCCCAGCGGGGGTGAATTTGGTGGCGCACGGAGCGAAGGGAAGCCGCAGCAACCAGCGGCGGCGGCGACGGCGGCGGTTGTCGCTGGGCGTGCGGGGGTGGCGGTTGCGAGCGCCGGGAGTGCTGCCTCTTCCCCGCTAAGCGGTGCTGGAGGTATCGCCGGAGCCGGCGGCAAGAAGGTGCGGAAGAAGACGAAGCCGGTGTCCGCAGCTGTTTTGGAGGTGCGCAACCGGCGTCGTGAGAAGATCCAGGAGAAAGCGGCGCAGAGGAGGTCACCGGCTGTTGCCCAACTCGTTGCCGAACCAAGCGAGTCCCTGCCTCGGCACACCGCCACTGCTGAGCTTGTTGGTGGTGGAAGCACGGAGCCTACCGCTGTGGGGAAGAAAAAGCTACGCAAACCCGGACGCACTCCAGACCTCGGCGTTGCGGCTTTGCACAAAGCCTTGTGGGGCGGGGGCGGGAAACGAGCGACCCAGGGTCGAAGGTCCTCCAGCAACAACGCTGCCGGGCTTGACAACCGAGGGGGCTCGGGCGCGCAGGTACACGAACGAGATTGTACCGTGAAGGCGGCCGATCGCGATGTCGTCGCGCTTGATGATGGCTAGCATCACTCCGGCTGGTAAGTCTTGGTAGATACCGCTAGGAAATGGAGCTCTCGTTCGAAAAAAAAATCAGTGCCCGGGGGGAAGGCTTGTTGGTTCTTCTTTCCGTAGTATATCGTCCGGTTTGCGCTGTTCACGGCTATTAGTCCCGTAGTATGCGCTTGAGCGTGTTATCTCGCGCTGCGGGTTTCACCTCTTGGGGGATCATTTTCTTTGTGCGTGGTGGTGTTAATGTATCGAACTACTTTCCGAACTTGTCCGATGGAATTTTGTTTCTCAGCACCCGCTCGTCTTGCGAGGACTTGTCACGGAAAGGTTATGTTCTGAAAGAAACAACACGGCAGCATCGACACGAAATCAGGGCAATACTTGAGGACCCCCGCGGGATAGAGTATTGTGTTGGTCTGCGCTGGGTAGTGCCCCTGGGAGTATTCCATGAACACTTTGTTTCTCTACTCCCCCCTGTGCTCATTTCTTGCTTCGCTGTTTGCCATCGGGGATGGGTTTTCGTCGCTTGGCAACGACGTTGTAAATCAAGCCAATTCACATCGTGAGCTCGGCAACCAGGTTACAGTTTTTTTTATTACCTCTGTTTTTTTTTGTGCGGTAACCATAATGGTGGTCGAGTAGATTATGTTGCGCGGGGTCGAGAACCCTCGCTCCGCGCAAAGGGGATAGTCGCACGCTGTGTTAAAGTGGTCAAGCACCCTCGAGACAGTCAAACAGCGCTTACAACTGTCTCTGGAAATGGAAGCACCAGAAAATACATCAAGTCATACGCAGCTGTCATCCGTACGCAAGGAAGTAAGCACAAGATGCCGAACACCCTTTGCAGGATGCACAGCGCACCCTTCATGCCACTCGCCGAATACCTCACGGCGCTTCGCGCTTGGGGATGTGAGAACCTGGTCCGGTGAGAACCCGGCGTGCTCCGTCCCGGCTTTGTAGGGATGCGAGGTCAATGGTCTAACGACTGCGGCATGCACGACTATGAGTACACCCCCTCCCCCTGTGCTCGCCTACATTCTGCACCGCTAGGGGTGGGTGCTGCAGAAGCAAATGCGGCAGCAGGAACGATGCATACGGTACTGGAACCAGCAGCAGCAGCAGCAGCAGCAGCAGCAGCAGCAGCAGCAGCAGCAGGAGGAGGGGCTCGTAAAGGGGGCGGGTTATCCCGAGCCGCACGCTTGGCAAGAGGAGGGGGGAGGCGTTAAGGTCCGCAAGTATGCGCCGGAGGGGGGAGGCGCTACGATCCGCAAGCATACGCCGGAGGAGGGGGGCGTTACGGTCCGTGAGTATTCGCTGGAGGAGGGAGGCGATACGGTCCGCAAGTATACGCCCGAGGAGCAGAGGGAGGAAAACGAGAGGGTGGAGAAGAAGCAAGAGGAACAGAAGGACAAGGGGGAAGAGAACCGAAAGGACGAGGAGGCGGAAAGGGTGAATGGGAGGCCTGCCTCGCACATGGCACCCTTCTGTGCTGCCGATCAAGGAAAGATCCACGCTGCAGCCTCCTCTCATTTCGAGGGAAGATGCTACGACGAGGAGGTAAGCTGGACAAGCAGCGGCCCCGGCGTTTTCCAACGCAACCCCCCCAAAACTTCACCGCGCCTTGCCTATCCCAACTCCGTCCCCGCTCAAGGGCAAATTGCATGTACCCCGTGCCAAGCTGTCATTGTTCCACACTGTTCTTAGTTTTGAGAGTCACTCTAGGTTGTTGGTGCCTTAGGTACTGCCGCTTGCAGCAAACGGACGCGAGCTTGTTCCCCAATCTGAGAGTTTCGCCTCTGCTTGTCGCCTTGCTACCCTTGCCCTCCCTTCCTCTCTTCTAGGTAGCGAAGTCCAAGAAGCTACTGTCCTTCGAGGACGCCGAGTCGTTCTTGGCCAAAAACCTGCCGGGCGTGGAGGACGTATACTCGATGGGTCAGACCATCGGCATCTCGATCCGGGGGGACGGCAACTGTTTCTGGACGTCTTGCTCCCTTACGGCGCTGCTGTGGGCCTCGTGCCAGGACCACCTACATCACCTGCAAGATGTTCTCGCCCGTTACAGGGCTATTTGCCGGGGTAGTTGCGCGTACTACGCCCTCTCGCTGGCAATGAAGGTGTGTTCTGAGTCTTATCGCGATTCGTCGGAAGTCCGCAAATAGGTGCGCCCGTTGGGCGGTTCGCCGAGGGTACAGTCAGCTCTACCGTAACTCCATCTAACTTGTTGACTTATATACCATCGTCCTTCCAGAGCAGTGAGCCGAGGGACGGAATTTCTTTCGTATTGTGACATTGATCGCTGCCATCGGGTTCCGTAGTGCGAAACAACAATTGTTCGGTTCTTCCGGGAGCTGCTTGTGAGGAAGGGTCTTTTCTCTGCCTTCTCCATTGTGCATGTAGTGTAAAAGAGGGTGATACTCATATTTTGACTCACCTACGGTCATTGCTCTTGTGTCCGATCGCAAATATCCGCCGTCACGGGTCTGCTCGGGAGTCACTTAGAGTGGTGTGATTTGTGAAGATGATTCGCCTATGGATGATGCATGATAATTCATTAAATAATGTAGGAATGGCGACGTACCATGCAATATCCTTACGAGAGAAGAAGTTGAACAAAATGGCGCTGCCTCTTCCTCGCACTCGCTGCCCAGAGTGAACGAATCGGTGATGATCTCCCTAAACACGAAACTTGCTGGTTCCTCAGAAAGGGATTCCATGGTTTTTCGATCGTACAGGTAATACGTGGTTTGAAGTATGACGTACGTGGGAAGCTAACCCGTTGGTGCGAGAGATTCCCCGCCCCGCCGCTTGGTTCGGTAACGAGCACGCATGGCAGGCAGGGGACCCTTTCCTGCGCCACACATATCCTCCCAACACGGCCCCGTGTCAAAGAACGTCTCTACGCCGTCTGGAACCGGTAAGCAATTCAGGTCTTGCTACGTCAATTTCCCTGGTACGTTCTCCAGCTTGTTTATTTTTTCCGCCTCTTTTCCCTCCGTCGTTAACCCCTCAAAGGAGAACGTTGACAAGTTCGTTTCCTTCGTGGAGATGCTGCTTGGCCTCAAGACGACGGGAACCTCCAATCAGGAACTGGTGGGTACCCTTGTACGCCATCTCTCGAAACCCTCCGAGGGGAGGCAAGCAGGTAACCTCCACGCGCCCTTGTTCAAGGGCATGGTCCTCGCCACACGAATTGCTGCTACGGTCTACAAGACCCCATCAGCCAGGCCTGAAAGTTTGGTGAGCGCGGAGTTGGGGTCCCGGATTCTTGTCGTTTTGATGGTGTCCTGCCGTTATCTTCTGGTTTTTTATGTAGTGTCGCAGACCTTGCACCATCTGTCGCGATGGCTACTCTACAGTGGCATCAGTGTTTGCCCCCGTTGCACCACTAAGTACGGTGGTTTCGAGCAGGAGCTCTTGGAGACGGGTTGATACGTGGTCGCTGAACAACATATACCTCACCAAGACCGCAAAGCAACAAAGCCTTGAGAGCGACGTGCCAAATTCTCACAAGCCAGCAGTAGTCCCAATCATCACTTTTCAATGCTGGCTGGAACAGCTATATCGAAGGGCAACGGCACCCAGTAGTCTTCTTTCTTAGTCTGCTGCCATGATTAGTCTATGTAATAACTGCATAGCTCGAACGCTAAATAGATTGCACTGTTACGTCGAACCCCGGGATGCAGGCCAAAGACTTTGCCTGCCCTCTTTCCAGCATGATCGTTATCCATGTTTGTCCGATACGTACAGCCCATTTCGCGATATTCTTCCCAATCGCTGGTACATTTGCACAGATCGACCTTAGCGCTAGCACACAATGGTTCGTTTTAACGGACATGCATGCTGTGGCGGTTGTCCTTTCGGCATCATGTCCTCGAGGCTCGTGCGTGAACTCCTTCGGAGCACTACCCGGAATCACACTTGTCATCCTGTGGGGGAGAACTACTGCAGCAGGCCTTACAACCGAGTGTAGTGCACTACGTGAAGAGAAGCGCCGCTACTGCCACCCTTGCAATTCATGCCAATGTCTGGAGACCGGAGAAGTTGGAAAGAATGAATGCTTGAAGACCCGTGCTCTCGGATCCTTACAACACGTACCACCCTTGTTCGTCAATGCCTCTTTTTGCTAGGACGGTTTCGCCACCGTTTCCGAATACACCAATGGTGACATGTTCGACCTGAGGCCAGGCGAACCTCTGGGGATTCGCGTCGACCTTGTGGCAGATTACTACGAGCCTAGCGGCAAACATGTGACATATGTGAGTGCGTGCCTGTCGATTGGATCGGTTTTACCGTACTCCCTTCGTGTGGCTTATCCGAAAAGAAGGGTTGCAGCCTACAATGATATCAGAGAGCACCCGTTGTCAGCGTATCATGGCTATCACACCCGACATTCTCTATTTAGTCACCTTCGGACAACACGCACAACCATAACCGGCATTTCATCGAGGGACGCAGAATGGTTAACTCTGCACGGTGACTGCCACACATTCGGGTAGCCAATCCGTCGCTCAACCTCCACACGTGCTCCCCGCGAAGCTCTGCGTTTGCTCAATCTCCTTCGAGGTCGTTGTCAAGGTCAAAGTCGAGCTTGGTGCTCTCGTCTGCATCCCCTAACCGGAGCCTTCCCCAATCACGCCTTCGTTCGTATGTGTTCGCCTGCGTTCGTCTTTCAGCGGTGCAACGACGGCGACAGGAAGGAATTCGGTTACGGGCTTGTTTCGAGACGCCTTCCCTTGGTCGATGGCATCGCCGTTCGGAAGGGTGCTCTGGCACACTTTGATCTGCGGATTGAAGCTTGCTCCAGCGTTGGCACCGCCCTTGCTGAGGCATTAGAGATTCGGCAGCTTACGGACGAGGACGGCCTGACCGAGCACCACCGCCGCTTGAAGCTGGAGATTGTGTCCCAGGTAGAGTTAACGCTATTCGCAAGCATTTTAGCTTTGTTTCCTCCACCCCGTTAATATGTCTAAGATGCAGTGAAGGGTGAGCGCGAGATACAACCTGAGCAGAAGCGTTCGTCGCGCATGTTGATCAAAGGGTGAGTTCATATCCCAGCCGTCTACATGGCGATGCCGCCACTGCTCCCTAGCGTTGGCGTACGTACGTGTACCATCCACGTCCTCGACGGGTTCCCCTCCTGCGACGAAACCGTGATGTTGACGAACTGCACTATGATTCGCACTTTCCTTCCCCACACACAGGTTGTCATTCATCCTGGAGGGTGCCCAAGGTGTTCGATGCACATCCCTCAGTCAGCAGTGGCGTGCGAAATGTGTGAATTCCCAGTGCCGGAGGGATTCGTTTACGCTCCGGATGCGGGAGGCGGTGCTGTGCATCCGGCAGCGGAGGTGGCGGAGGTAGCGCCAGCCAGACCCTCAGCGACCAACTAACGGGAGCTACACGTCCATTTCCTTCCCAGGGGCGCGGGTCTCGGCGGGGTGAGCGAGGCGCAGACGAAGTTGGACCAACTCCACAGCATGCGCAACGACATCATCCTCGCGGAAGAATTGCCGGGGGGCTGCAAGGTCGGAGAAAATCGCACATGGTGGCTCCAACAATCTCGACTGGGTTATCGATGACTGTGTAGTGTTCCAAGACGTGATCCAGATCCACGATGAGATTGCTGTCCAAGTAGTGCCCTGATGCACCACTGTCCACCAACAGACTGAACCTGTCGGTGTCGGTGACCATCGCATTGTGTTCAATGTCTTCAGCCTGCTCGATTTTGACAACACACGCGTATCCTAGGTCGCCACAGTATTCTTCCGATATCGTTTCCTCCGTTGGATGTGCCGTCCCTGATGTCTATGGTGGAGTATGAGCGGTAGCTGTGTTAGCAGATTGTCCAGGTCCGATGTTATCGTTGTGAGCTATGTTTGCTCCGTTGTTCTTCCGGAGGTTGATCGAACCACTGGTTGGTTGATCATACCGTCCGGTTCGTGCTCCCCCGTGGGCATGACGCCTAGCGGCCTGTGTATTGCACTCTGCATCGCTGTGCAGGTGCGTGTTGTGTAGAGAGCGCCACTTTTGCTCCCTACCTCCAGTTCGAGGTCGTTGTTGTTGTTGACCGTGCGGTCGTGAGCGTATTTGGGGACAGTTGCGTTGAATGTGTCCAAACCTCCTGCACCGGTGGCATTGCACTCCTCTCTTCTTGTAGTTGTTGTTGTCTTGAGTCCAGCGCGGCCTAGAATCAGTAGTAGCAGTCATGCTCGCATCGCGAGCAGAGCTCCTGTGGTTCCGTGCAGCATCATGTCCATCAGTTTTGGTACTACTGTACCACAAATTTCTCGCCGTTTCTGTAATCTTCTCCAGGGTAGACTATAGTCTCTGGTGTTGGCGCTCGCGTTGTACCAAATTAAGTCGTATTCCTTCGGCAATCCATGAAGTATGTTGTCTGCGCATTGGACGTCCGTAATGTGTCCTCCAATAAAGTTGATCTGCTCCGTAAGGAGCGAGACACGGGTGATGAATATGTCCGGGTCGGTCCCGGGCTTCATCTTGATGCTTCCAGTTCATGTTCTAGTTGACGACGCCGGTTCTCGTCGTGAGGCTTGTACTTCTGTTCCACAACTTTCCAGACTTCCGATCCGCTCCCGCTGGATTCATCCTTGGGTGCTACCTTGCGTAGGACGTAAGCAGCGGCCCCCGTGAGATATGGTACAAAATGTGAACAGTTGCCTGTCCGCTTGTTCATATCGCTCGATTTCGTCCTGGTTGATTACTCGCCTTTCCACAGACGAAACAGGCTGTTTGTTGCTTCGTCCGGTCTGGTTGCTTCGTGCTCCATCTCAGGCTGCCGCATATGATTGCGTAGCAGGTTTAGAACTCATCAGCATCGCCAGTTGCGGTTCCAGTAGGTCAACAATTCGATTCGCCTGGAACGACGTGTTCTTAGTCATATCCAAGTGTTGTATGGCGTCGTTTTGTGCTTTCGTTTTCCTTGAGGATACCTGCCACCGCGTTGGTGGGCTACCTCATCCAGCTTTTTCTGGGCTTCGTCATAATCTTCATCAGCGCTTGCAGCTTTCGCCTATGCGTCCTGTATATCCTGGTGGAGCTTTGCTTCCTCAGAGTCGTCGCCGTTGTCCTGAACGTCTTGTTCATCTTCATACCTGCCATCGTCGTTGTCACGAGTGTGGTCATCACGGGATGACGCGGGGTTATCGTCCTCGTAATACGGCTGTTCATGCCGTTCTTCAGGTCTAGTCTATGTAGATCTACTCCACATTCCACTCAGCAGCTTGCAGATGTCCGGCTTGTATAGCCCAAGTGTTCTCCTCGTGTGATACTTCCACTCAGGATACTCTGACGTCCCAACACCTGAATAGTGCCAAGCCGACACTTTTAGGGTCTCATAATCCCTCATTAGTGCCGGCTAGGTGCTTTTGGCGAGTGTTCGATTTCAGAGTGCAGCGCGTACGCTACGCGGGGCTGACAGAGCACCAAACAACCGCACGAGCCGCAATCGGATCAATTGTGAAGTGGGCGACGTGGGCGATATTTTCTAAGTTTCGTGAGGTTTTTAGCCTATAGAAAACAAGGCATTTGTCACATTGAAATGATCTTGGCCAAGTATGCATAGGTTTGTTGCACCATTGTTGCCTTCCCACCTCAGTGCACGCAAGAAGTTAACCGCTTCTGCCGCCTTTAAACCGTAGACCGTGCTGCCCGACAAAAGGGCACCTCGCTAATAAATGATGCAGTGGTAAAGAAGCCCGCAAAAGAGATATTCAGGCTTCCTCAAAGACACCCCTCGACAGCGGAAGAAACACGCCCATGCACGCACCCGATCCACATTTGGAGGTACACGAACTGCATAAACAATAAAATAGCAAGCGCGACCCAACTGAGAGTGACGAATGAAAACAAACCTCACACTCCCTTCGATGAAACTGAAGAAAGAATCAAGCCTTCAGAAGCAAGTAAACGACCGCAAAAAAAGTCGCCAGTAAACCGCTACCCTCTGGCCCTCTGCGTAGAGCTGGTAGGGTCTTCGGCAGTAGCACGTGTATGTCTATGGCGTCAATGTTTCTGTGTGTGTTTCTTTATTGTGAGCATCGACCGCTAATCGGCCGACCAATGAAAATACGTCGGTAGTGCGGATTAGGTCAATAGAAAATGTTTCGAAAGGCCATGATGGGATCCCGTGAGGGGGTGCCATGTTCGTTACGGAGTGCAATGTTTCATCATTTTTCTTGTGGAGTATCCACCAGCTGGTATTTACCACCACTACTCTCACCACTACTGTTTCCGCTATTATTGTTTTCCGCTCATCTCTATTCCTGCGGCGTTTGTCGTGAGGAAGGTCGTCTGGCTCGAAACTCTTGCTCTCTTCAACACCATATTCCCTCCTCCATCATCACTTCTGTCCTTCTCCATTCTTTTCTTGCCTCCTCTTTCGCCACCACCGTTCTCCTATTCGCCCGCTCACAACTAATCAACTACTATACTCCCAACTAGGTGTGGTGGGAACTGGTACTCAATCAGTATATCATGACGTGAGACATTACGAGTTCGTACCGACAGAAAACGGGCTTGCTCGAAGTTAAACTATGTTCGAACCCTGCTGGTATAGTTGGCCTTGAGGAGAAGAATAACTGTGTATGCGTGGTCTGAATCGGCACTATTGAGGAGTACGATAGTGCCTGAACCGGCACCATAGTGGGCAGACCTCCAAAGTGTCGGTTTCGCACTTTTGAAGCCTCTGGCTGGGTCAAGAGAGTTAACCGGCGCCATACCGGGACACCTACTGAATGCGTCCTCTCAAATACGCCAGGTATTTTGAGCTCACTCTGGTCGTTTGAAGGAATGTTCGTACTTGAGTGCCACGAGACCAGAGTAAGCGTGATTCGTCTTGACCACGGTCCACAGAAGTCAAGACATGGTCATCGTCGGCGAACCGGTCTGGTCGGGACCTAGAAGGCCGGCCATATGGAGTTTAGCCTACAGGGACCCTGGGGGCTCTGTATCCCGTGGCCTGGCGAGAGATGCTGTACGCTCTTTTCCCTTGTAACCAATTCTCTCAAGAAACGATCCCACTTCGCGCCCCGTCGAGAAAATACGCAATGTTTGAGTTAGCATCACCCGCAAGGTTCCGATGCCTCTGCCATGTCGGATGCAATGTCTTCGGCGTGTTTCCGGAAACAACCGAACATCGATCCCTCACCTGACATAGCCCATGGGAGCAGGGCATCTGTTTTCGTCCCATGATTCTCCATATCCCCGATCGATATCCCCCGGTATTGTATCGACATGACAAACTGTCACAGGTCCCATGATTCTCTTTCGATATTCGTTCGATCTTGCTCTGTGCCGGTTGCTGTTAGGGCCAACCCAGTGTTTCGATGCCTTCGTCGTCGCCTTGAGCCAAGCATGTGAAGGAGGAAATAAGCGCTCGTATACGTCAACACTGGAGCTGCCGCTGGCCTCGTTGGATATCTGCAGGGCGGGCCGAAGTACCTCGACCTTGCACGTCCGTGTACAGTATCAGACTCCTAGAAGCTTTTGGTCTCCCCCTAAAGTGCAATTGCGGCCGGACGAAGGCAGCTCGAAGATTCGCTTGTCGAGCCGTGTGCCGGTCGTGTGAGCTCTCCGAGTGACGTGGGCGATTCCAATGAAAGATCCGGGGAGCGGCCATCGAGCGGTGGACGTCGTCTGAATGCCTTGAGCTGCTGGGATCGTTGTGTGCGGCTAGCCTAGGATCAGTGGTTTGGCCCCGAGGGCTGACACAACTGTTGTTGAACGCATGGATTGGTATTCCAATTCACGACGTCCTTGTGACCCATGCGCCTGCGACGCCTGGTGCTCGAGAATTTCAATCAGCCCATTGCCGTAGTCGTGTGGCCGGCGTCCCTGGAACAGCTATCGCTCGGGGCAAAATTCGATCAGTCCATTGCGGGAGTCGTATGGTCGGTGTCCCTGCAACAGCTAACGTTCGGAACGGATTTCAATCACCAGTCATGTGCGGGAGTCGTGTGGCCGGCGTCCCTTCAAGGGTAATAGTTCGGCTACTGCTTCAATCAGCCTATTGCCCGTGTGGTGTGGCCGGCGTCCCTGCAACAACTATCTTTCGGGTCGAATTTTATCCTACCAATTGCGGGAGTCGAGGGCCGGCACCCCTGCAACAGCTTTGGTTCGGGACATTATTTCATAGGCCTATTTTTGCAGTCGTGTGGCCGGTGTCCCTGCAACAGCTGTCATTTGGGTCAGATTTCAATCAGGCTGTTGCAGAAGTCGTGTGGCCGGCTTCCCTGCGGTGTACGAGGGGGAGCTGGATGTCCATGATGCTGCTGTCCTCCGTAGCCGCCGTGAGGCCCGTGCCGGGGCCCACCCCCCCAGCCCCCCCCACTGCGGCTCGGCTGCTGCGGCGGCGGTCCCCGAGGTTGCCGTTGCTGCTGAGACGGCTGCTGTTGCGGGGTTTGTTGCTGTCGTTGGGGCTGCTGCTGTTGCTGAGGCTGCTGTTGCTGAGGCTGCTGCTGCTTGGTCTCCTGCTTCTTCCGTTGCCGACGCTGGGTGTAGCACTCGCTGTTGGTGTGCGACGAGTACGGATGATAGTCGCAGCGCCTGTCTCCGTCCGCCCTGTTGTTGCTGCTCCGCCCGCCTCCATTGCCGTCCTGACCCCCGCCGTTCCCACTGAACCCATTTTGGACCCGTCCGTCGCCCCGGTTCCCACCGGCGGCGACGAAAGCGTGCCCCGCGCTATTCTGCGGCTCCCCCTCCCGTGCCGTCACCATATCCTGTTCGTTCGTCGGGTTCAACCAGCCTATTGCCGGAGTCGCGTGGCCGGCTTCCCTGCAACAGCTGTCGTTCCGGAAAAGGTTAAATCGGCCCATTGCAGGAGTCGTGTGGCCGGTGTCCCTGCAACAGTTGTCATCGGGGTCAGCTTTGGATCAGGCTGTTGCAAAAGTCGTGTGGCCGGCACCCCTGGATGAGCTATCGTTCGGGTCAGATTTCAATCAGTCCATTGCAGGAGTCGTGTGGCCGGCGTCCCTGCAATTTAGTAAACCTTTTGCCGGGGTCGCGTGGCCAAGGTCGCTGCGACATGTGACACATGGTGGGACGAGCCTGCTGTGAAAGCTTGGTGGGATGATCTGGCGGTTCTTTCAGAGTTTTTGGAGACGAACGACGTGTTGGTGCCAGTGTTATATGGTCCAAGCGAGCCATATTTCAATATTCAGTATCCACGTTTTTGGGGCTGTAAGGCACCGCTTGCTTCATGGTACGCGTAAGCAGAATTCTTCAACGTTCCTCTTCAGGAGCATGACATTGTTTTCTGTTTAGTTGACGTTCTTCTGCAAGTTGATCAAGTTCGAACATCTCCACGACGCGTTTGTCCGCAATTGCAAGACGTATTCGAGTAGATATCGTCAGGGTGTCAAAACGTCAACTCGGACTCCTTTTTTATTTTTCTGTCCAACGAGGTGTATGGGCAAAAAGCTGTCGTTTTCCCTGACGTTAGATTTCTTTGCGATTGTGCGGTAAACCGGAAAAACCCCTCGGGTTCAGACGCAATAACCCAGCCACAAGAAATACTTTCAAACCACGTGTTGGGATTTGTATGCAAGAACTGACTCTATTCTACTGCATGGGTTTTGTGCAGTATTGTGAAGGCGTGTCTCCAAGTCTGTAACCGTCAGGTGAAGACAGCTTGGGCGCCTGTGTTTTGGATCTAATGATCACTCTGTGTTGTATCTACCCAAACTGCGCCACCACTGCCAACTACACAACAAACAGCAACTACAATTCTGTTGTCA